CAAATGTATATATTCAGTTCTAACCTTTTTCCCAATTTTCAGACCAAAATTTCCAGCTACCCACAGTAATATCTGAAAAACACCTCAAACTGAACTTGTCCAAAACCAAATTCATTACCTTTCCTCAAGACTGCTTATGTTCCCCACTTCAATGAACACGACCAATCCACCCCATCAGCCAAGCCAGAAACCTCCCGGGAATTCTGCCAACTCTGTTTTGAAACTTCATACAACTGCATGCCCTTCTCTTCGTTTTCCTACATTACTCCAGTTAGCACACTCGTTTCCTGCCTACCTAGGCTTTCTGCCTCCACACTGTCTTCACTTTCAGTTCTTCCTCCACGTTTTCATCAGATAACCAATCATACCGAACTCCTCCTTACAAGCCCTGCAATGGCTCCCCATGCCTGCAGAATAAAGTCCAAGTTCGTCAGCAAGGTTTACTTGGAGGTATAAATTGAAAGGTTTATAAAACAACACTGACGTAGCCCAGAGTCTTCAAAGTGAGTGTAAAAGGCAGAGGCGGCGGCGGCGGCGAAGGGGGATGACAGGGGAGAAGAGAGAGGCAGTGGTGTCTGAGGGGGAAGAACTTTCCGAGGGTGGAAGTGGGTGTTGGCGAGGGAAGTCTGTCTGCGGGAAGCGAAGTGCGGGAGACCAGATGTGAGGGAGGAGGGTACACTGAGGGGAAGAGGCTCTCCGTGTGGAGTTGGAGGTCTCAGAAACAGTTCTCTGAAGAAATGAAATTTCTTGAGTCTCTGAAGTGAGGAAAGTCCCTGAGAGGAGTCGAGGACTAGGTCGTGATACGAAGGAACTTGTAATGGGTTCCAGGCCTCCGAGGCTGCGAGGGTGAGGGTGAGGGTGAGGGGCTGGGGCGGGGGTGGTCCCGGGACCTTCAGGGAAGTGAAAAGGGAAGGGGAAGGAGAGGACTGTCCCCGAGAGCTGAGAGGCACACCTCCGGGAAACCAAGAGGTCCTGTCGGGGTCAAGCCACCCGAGCGCCTGTGCTCCGGAGCCGAGGCGACGTAGCAGCCGCGCGCGCGGGCCCGGGCCCCGGATTGGAGCCTCACGTGCTCCGCTGGCGTTACCTGAGGCGGGACTGAGCAGCCAGAGGGGTGCCTGCGCGAGCGGGAGGGGGAAGCGGCGGCCAAGAGGGAGCATAGTAGCCCTCGCAGCTCGGAGGCGGCGGCGGCTCTTAGCCTGCCGAGGCGGTGGGGGTCCCTCGCGCAGAAGCCGGCGACTCCGCGGGGCTGGCGGCGGCGGACGAGGAGTCTACTGCCATGGCCCCACAGTCAGGGCCGCTCCCCCCGCCGGTTTGGCGGGACCAGGATGATCCGTCCGGGGAGCCAGAGAGGGCAGATGGAAGACCCGCAGGGCTCCCCAGCCGCCAGCGACTGAAACGCCTGCCCAGCCGGTCAGAGTCGGGGGCGTGGCTTCAGTGGGCCACGCCCCTCCCCTCAAGCCCTCCCTCATAGCAGCCAATCAGTAGTCAATCCTTAATCAACGAGGTGGTGAAACTGACCAATTAGTGTCCGGAATGCCACGTGGTCTGAGGGTGGGCACAATAGGCGTCGAGAAAAGCCAATCAACAGCCCTAGGCGCCAACTCTGAGGAGGAAGGGAACCAATAAGAAGGAAGTGGAGGTGAAAACAGAAGAGGCAGTGTGCTGGAAAGGAGGAACGGGGCGGAGGGAATGCACCTGGGGGAAACCCCAGGCCGAGAGCCTCGCTGAAGGCGGGACAGTAAACACAAAATAGACCAATCGAAATTCCAAACACATCAACGAGTGTTAATTAACAAACCCAAAGAAAATGTATTCGATTGGCGCAGCTTTTGGGTTGGTGAAAGTATAGTTGAGTAAGACTGTTTAAGGAAAAGTCTTGTGAACACAGCCTCCTGCATCTCAGCATAGTGGAGGGGGGTGGGAGGGGCCGGCAGGGGGGAAAACTGTTACATAAACAATTACTGTGATAACGACTAGAGATAGTAACAGCAATGGATAGGGTTAAACAAAATGCTGAGGGAGCAATTCATCTAGGTTAAGAGATTAATTCTGGTGAAGACTACTTAGAGGAGGTAACACTTGAGTTGGCTTGAAAACCGAGGATTTTGAAAGAGCTGGGTAGAGACTAAAATTCTATTCAGCCGTTCATCAGGCACACATTTCTTCATGCTTTCCATATGCCTGGACCTTGGGCACTTATAACCTTTTTTTATTGAGCCCGCTGGCATGGCTCAGTGGTTGAGTGTGGACCTATGAACCAGGAGGTCACAGTTTGATTCCCAGACAGGCCAGGTGCCTAGGTTGTGGGCTCAATCCTTGGGGGGGGGGGGGGGGGTAGCCAATCAATGATTTTTATTTCAGAGAGGAAGTTAGAGGGAGAGACAGAAACATCCATGATGAGAGAGAATCATTGATCAGCATGCCTGGGGTTTAGAAATCACCTTTCTTTCCTACATATTTATACTTGTCTCCTAGACCTGCTGTCAAGAGTCTTGACAGATGAATGGAATTTGAATGCAGCAGAATCCTGTTTCACTTTCCGTGGTTTCAGTTACCCATGGTCAACTGTGGTCTGAAAAAATTAAATGGAAAATTCCAGAAATAAACAATTCATAATTTTAAATTATAGCCATTTTGAATAGTGTTATGAAATCTCATGTAGTTCTCTTACATCCTGCTGGAATGTGAATCATCCCTTTGTCCAGCATATCCATGCTGCATATGCTACACACTTGCTGGCTAGCCACTTAACAGCCATCTAGGTTATCAGGTCGACTGATCAGTGCTTGCGTTCAAGTAACCCTTAATAATGTCTCATTCACCTCATTTCATCTCTTCACATAGGCATTTTATAATCTTACATCACAAAAAGGGTGAGTACAGTACAATATTTAAGAGACCACATTCACATAACTTTAATGACAGTATATTGTCATAATTGTTCTATGTTATTAGTTGTTAATCTCTTACTGTGCCTAACTTATAAATTAAACTTTGTTATAGGTATTTATGTACAGGAAAAAAACATAGTATACACAGGGTTTGGTACTCTGTGGTTTCAGGCATCCACTCAAGGTCTTGGAACATATTCCCCATGGGTATGAAGAGATTACTATAGTTGGAGTATAGGTGATGTGCATTCTTGTAGCAATAAAAGTTTTTGGTAGAGGATAAGAATGGAAAAGTAAGAGGTTTAAATGTGGGTTGGACTTCAATACCAAATTTGTCCTTTCTTTTTTTTTTTATGCTGTGTATAAAAGATTCCTGAGCAGGAAAGAAGCCTTAATAGGACACTGTTTTAGAAAGATTAATTGTTAGCTCACAGGATCTCTGAAGGAAGAGCGCTGTAGCCTAGTCCTCTTGGCCAGAAACCTTTTCTGTATTATTCTTCTGGAAACAGGTCATATGCTGCCACCTGGTGACGGTTCAAATACCATTGATCCACATAGCTATTAAATGTTTCTGCTGTTAAGAGCTCTGGCACCCTTGCAAACGTATCTTCCACAGAGCCCAATGTAAAGTAGCTAATAAATAAGTAGAGCACTGGTAGTAAATAGAACTAATTGAATAATGCCACCATGCCAGATGTATCACCTGACCAGTAAAAGATTTAACAATAAGGAATTCCTTATACCTGGTTTAGCAGGAAGGTGAGTCTTGATGGAAGTTTTTTGGTTTTGTTTTTTTAAACAGATTCTGTTTGACCCAGGCCTGATCTCTACCATCCCACTCTCAGCAATCTCCCTAATTCTGTGGGGTAAAAACCAAGGAATGCCTTATTTGGATATCAAAGGCCACTCTTCATGACCTGTCTGCTACTTATTTCAGGAACTTGAATGCACCCCATAAAGGAAATAGTTCCTGCCATCAGTCTTTTATGATGCTTTTATTTCAGATAACTGTTTCCTCTTCCCAGCTGGACTGAGCTAAGAAGTGGTACTTTTACATGAGCCCACCGTATATCTTAGCTCAGGCTAAATACACACTAGAACTGGTATGTATTATGCTCAATAAACATCAACTTGGATGAATGGCACTATCGTTTGGCTATATTTAGCAGTGGAAGAGATCTTATGAGACCTCAGTGAGATGCTATTGCTACTAAGGAAATCCTGAACTGCATTGTCTAAAATACAAAGCCCAAGTAAGGAGAAAGTAATGTACCCATAGTCTACCTAGGAAAATATATTTTCCAGAGAGCAACTAATGGTGGAAGGATCAGAACCAATAGCCACAAAACATTTTTTAATATAATAGAAAATATCAGAGGGCATCACTCCTAGTATGCATAAGTATTGAATCATTAGATTTGTCTCAGTTAATAAATATATAGACTGAGTGGCCGGATTATTATGATCGGCCAGATTATTATGACCACCCCATCAGTACAATGAAGTGAATTAGTTATGCAAATAATAACAATAATAAAACCTTGAGAGCATTTGCTTAGGAAGTTTTCAATATTCAGTATTTTTGGAAGTGTCAATGAAGTACTGATGAGGTGGTCATAATAATCTGGCCGGTCATAATAATCTGGCCACTCAGTGTACATTTATATTTACTAAGCTATAATGTAAGCTATTTCTTACTGGAGGTCACAGTCAAAAAAATTGTAAACCCATTGGATTAGAGGCAGAGAGATTGAAAGGAGACCAGGGAGTAGACTGCTACAGAAGTGTATCTTGGATTGCTTAAGGATGAAGAGGTGTGGAAGGGCTGGAGTAAGCCTCAAGAGCAGAAGTGGAGAGGAGAGAAAGCCTCCTATTACAGTCCAGGGCCCACTGGAATGTCTCGTCCTCCTCTGTATCCTCACAGCAGTACTGCCCCAGAGCATTGTCCGACCTCTCCCATCAGAATGAGAGCTCCCACCTCCTTCCAAGTTCTACTGAGCACAGGGTTTGAATTCAGAAGGTACAGATTTAAATGTCTATGAACATGGATTTCCAAGAGAGAGTTGGTAGAAAGTGGTCATGTTACAGGAGGAAGAAAAGGTACAGCTAAGTCTATCCCATATGGGTGCTGATTCACAGAAAACACATCAGGGAGGGTTAGCCATGTTACTGCAGTTGGTGGGCAGGTAGGCAGGCAGTGACAAGCCTCAGTAGGGAGGGCAGATACCAGCTAGATCAAGAGGGTAGGGGCAGGGAGCCTAAAAACCGGGCCTTGGAGGGGAAGGTGAGCAAAGACTTTATCCTACTACTCTTACATGTCCTTACAGGTCACTCAGGAGTATCTTGGAGCCATTAAAGGATAGGTCCTCCTGCTCAAGGCTCTGGACCTGGAGCTGAAAGTTTCTGGGTCCCAGGTTAGAAAGGGTGCTCTTCTGGAGATCTAAGAGGAGAGAAAGGAAAGACGGAACAAACCATCAGCAAGCACTGGGCTTGTCTGTTGGAGAAGTACATATAGGCCTGACTTGGGAGAAGTAGCAACAGAGGTCGATGGATTCACAAATAAAAAGGCAGAAACTCCATACTACCTAACAATTAGGCAGGTGGCATTCAGGCATCATGTAGATTCAGCCTTCCCCACAGCTGGGATCCCTGCCCTTATCCTCACCCAGCTTCTTTAAAAGTTCCCAGCTACTGTTGTTGTCCTGATGACTGACTTCAGAGCTAGATGAAGAAAGAGACATGGCAAAGGTGCCAGCCAGGGGTAGCTTCGACTCAAGGACATGAACAGAGGTCCTGGAAAGGGAAAGAAATGGTGATGGTGGGTCAAAGGGGCCCTTCCAGCATGGAAGTGTCCTCCTTCCTGAGGCCAGAACTCACAATTTATCTTCCAAACATATAGATACCTCACTGACTCCATATCCAATAAACAATACCCAGTACTGCCCTTTTGGGCTGTAACCCAGATCCTTATGCTGACCCTATTGGCCCATGTCAAATATAGGATAGCTGAATTTTGGTCCCCAATTCCTGGCCTCTGTAAGACAAATCCCTTCCACTGACACAGGTACCCACACCCCCTGACCTGAGGAGGTCATGCTCCCGCCGGGCATCCTCAGCCTCTGTCCTGGCAGCCTCCTTGCCCTCCTGGCCACTCTGCTGCTGCTCCAACATCTGCCAGATTATGGTCCCAGGTAGAACCAAACCTCTCCCTCTCCAGGAGAAACACCCCTCCCCATAATTGGAGGAGAGGGCTTAGGAAGAAGAGCTTTGAAGGGAGGTGAAGTCATCACAGGAAGAGGAAGAGATAAGGATGGGAAAGAGTATCCTGGCCTGCCTGCAGAACAGGATATACAGAGAAGGGAGGGGCCACAACAGGAAGTTATGAAGGGATAAGTTCAATCCTGGTCCTACCTTCCAGCTGCGGACCTGAACTTGCTGCCCGTCAGCCATCTGTTTCAGCATCAGCTCCTGATGCTGGGCTGCAGATGAAGGAACATGTAAGAAGGCTGTTCTCTAATGTCCAGCTTGTGGGCTCAATCCCGTGTGGGGCATGCAGGAGGCAGCCGATCAATAATTCTCTCTCATCAGTGATATTTCTATCTCCCTCTCCCTTCCTCTCTGAAATCAATAAAGAATTTTTTTTTCTTAAGAAGAAGGCTGTTCCCCAACTTCTTTACTTCTTCCTCCCTGCCTTGTTCCCAGTCTGGTGCTGAAAACTGAGATAGAAGCATTCTGGTCCAGCAGATAGCAAGTTTCCAAGCTGACTGGGGAGAGTAGGATCACACAGTTGGAGGCAAGACAAATACTTGGTCAGACTTCTGAGTAGCTCAAGCATTTAGAGCTATAGCCATTTACTGGGAGAATAAGAAGGCTTTCCAGAAAAGAGGACAAGTGAACCTCCCTCCGTCTTTTACTCACTCAGCTGATCCCGCAGCAACTTCAGTTCCTCCCTCAGAACCTCTGACTCCTCCCATAGCAGTTGCCTCCTACAGGGATGACAGCAGGTTCATTCTAAAAAGCCAATCAAGAAACCCAGAGGAGGCTACCAGAGGACCTGGAGTTCAAAGGCCTGAAGAAGAGGTCTTGCTATCACTTACTCATTCTGCAGCTCTTGGTGAAGGCCACTGGTAACACTGCACTTTTGCGGTCCTGCTTGTATTTGGGCTTGAGTCTGTTCCTACACCTGGCTTCGAAGGCCCCTCAGTTCCCTTCTCAGCAGGTCCAGGCATTGCTCCAGGAGAAGAGTCTTCCGCTCTGGGCCCCCCTGCAGCAACTTTAGTGATGCTATAATAGGACAAGTTGGGGGGTCAACCCCTCTAAGAACTTCACACATGAGCCTAGAGACTCCACTGTGAATCAAGATACAAATGCACACACAACAGGTGTGCAAAAAGATTGTTTGCATATGTATGAGGCTTTGTGTATCAAGAAAAGAACTGGCCAGATACCTTCCAGGGCACAGATTTGGTACTTCTGCTGCTCTTGCTCTTTCAGCAGGCCCTGCACAGCTTGTCTTAGTGCCTCAGTCACCTACCCAGGCAGAAAACCACATGAGCTACTGTGATACCCCAACTCCTGGTATCCTTGTTTCACACAAACACCACATATACACACCTAGGATTCCAAGCCTCACCTGACCCTGGGATCGTGGCTGGGAACTAAGAATAGTAACTTCATCCCAGAGTGAAGATGTCCTATGGACCTCAGCACAATTTAGCCTTTCTGGAGCAATAGGAGTCTCTAGAGCTCAAGGCTGTTGAGCTTGGGCTCCTGGTTGGGGAAGCAAGTGATTAGGGGGAATCCAGGTCCCAGTCAGATCTCCTGCTGAGGAAATAAAGGACAAATGCAAGACTTAGCGCGGGGGCGGGGGGGGGGGGGGGGGGGTGTTGAGGGGGATAAGAGGGGACAGATGTTTGTTCAAGAAAGGAAATAGTTGGACACCGGAAGGAATAATGGATGGTAAAGGCACTGGAAAAGGAAGATCCTGAAAGAGATCTTCCTGAAAGGAAGAGATCGTAAAGTGGGTAGAAAAGGAGACCATACCTACCTGCAGCAGAGACGCCAAGGGGATACAACCGCTGCTACAATAGAAACACGTGCATGTTCAATGAGATTTGTCTGAGTCCCTTAACCCACACTCCCAAACGGGGGGGGGGGGGGGGGGGGGGGGCCTCACTTCCCCTTACCTTAGTCCTGGCCACATTTCCGTCAGTAGCATTGAGAAGTGCCTCAAGCTGCTCAGACCAGCTCAGGTTCATACTCACAGCCTACGGCAAGGGGTCTGTCTCCCTGGCGTCTTGTGCCCTTGCTCTCCCAGCACCGAACAACCGAAGCACAACCCAGGAAAAGCCACAATGTCAAATTGAAAGGGGGAATAATAGGGGTACGGATGCAATATCAGAACAAAACTACACCTCTGGGACTAGTCAGGGGAGAGGTGTACTTGGGGAACTGGGGGGAAAGCAGGATACCCTCATATGCACATATTAGGAGGGAGTTTAAGGCGCCGAATCTTGGTTAAGACCTTCCCAGAGGCAGGATACTGGCGCCATCACGCCGAACCTATGCCAGCTACTACTGCCGCCGCAGCGTTCAAAACAGCTAGTAGGCCAAGAAAGTCTGACTTTGGGCTGGCTGCCGCAGCGCCATTTGGGAAACTGAGTTCTCGTCTCGCGGAAACAACCCACTATGGAGGCAACCGAACTACGTTTCCCTGGAGGCAATACGTGCACGTACATCCCCACCGTGAAGCTTGTCGGGAAACTGAGTCTTTCTGATTCTATAGTGGTTGTTTCCAAAGAACAAATGAACTACGTATCCCAGGATGCATCGCGCAAAGTCAACTGTGTCCCGCTACGGGTCCCACACGTTCTTGGGAAATGGAGTCCAAGCTGCCCTGAAAATTAATGGTCCCGGTTATTCTGAGACTCCATTCCCCAGCAAGCTCAGCGTGTAGCATACAGCATGGAGCCGCAAGTCGCTGAGCTGAAGCAGAAGATTGAGGACACGTTGTGCCCTTTTGGCTTCGAGGTTTACCCCTTCCAGGTTCGTTTCTCTCTCCTGCAGTGCTAGGGTGAGGTATATGATTGGCCTCAGTGCCACTGGCGTGAGGCCCTTAAACCTCCTGGTCTTTCCGGAGCTCCTCTGGTCCCATGTACATCTGATCTCCCGGGACAGAACGGCAAGGGGGCTTGGGTAGGTAGGAGCTGTCGCTGATCCAGTAACCTTGTGGCTGTCACTTAACATTATCGACGGGAAGAAAGGCACTCTTAGGGCCAGAGTCATTGGGAAGCTTTCTTTAAAAAAAAAAAAAAAAAAAAAATGTTTTATTGATTTTTTACAGAGAGGAAGGGAGAGGGATAGAGAGTTAGAAATATCGATCAGCTGCCTCCTGCCGCAACCAAGGTGCATGCCCTTGACCGGGATCGAACCCAGGACTCTTCAAGTCCGCAGGCCGACGCCCTATCCACTGAGCCAAACCGGTCAGGGCCCATTTTGGAAGCTTTCTGAAGGAATTAGAAGAGGGCAAGTCTTGGAAGGTTTGCATGGCTAGGATTTAGGTCATTTGAAAAGGAAAGGGCATTCCTGCTGTTGAACAAGCAAACAACTGGCTGGTTTGTTCCTTCCAACAGAAGAATAAGTCATAGTGTTGCCAATAACCAGCCACTGGGTTGGGTATAGCAACTGCCCCCGACTGATACACAAGTCTTGCACCACCACCTTCCCTTGTTTATATAAGTTCATTTTCTCCTTATCCGGTGCCCCCTCCATTGACCTATATACTTGGACAGAAAGCTAAATCAGCTCAGCTTGAACCCTTTGCTTGTTGCTTAAATGTGGAAGACCACCTATTGTCTTCACTAGCTGATAAGCCTAGACAGAGAAACAGCGCCCCCCCCCCCCCCAAGGCTGGGTACCCTTGAAGCCCTAGCAAAGGTCAGAGCTGTGCACCCAGTCAGTCCAGACAATGGTAGCTGAAGCAACCTCCCCACCTTTAATCATGTAAATCCTTATTGATAAGAATAGTCTGTGTGTCACTGGAACCTCCCTGCCTAAGGGCTATCCTATGGGTGGATCCCAAACCAAATAAAAGGTTGGTGCTGCCTGAGCACCAGTGGAAGTCCTTCTCCTTGAGTTGGACTTTGCCCGCCTGGCTCCCCAATATTTCCAAATTATCTCATGTCTCGTGTCTTTTCTCTTTCATTTGTGTGCGGCTCCTCTTTCAGATCCTGAACCCTGAACCACGCGGGACGTGGAAGGGAAACATTTTACAACACTTAAGAGACAGCCCACTCTCACCCCTTCCGCTGAGTGGCCCACAGCAGTGCTGGGAGAGGGTATAGAGAGAGGGGATAGGTTGGGTCTAGTTTGAAAGAGAGGACTTTCCAGAAAAAAAAAATGGAGTTGAGCTTTATATGAAAAGATAGATTGGTCCCAGCCAGTGTGGGTGAGTTGGTTGAGCATCGTCCCATGCACCAAGAAGTCATCAGTTCAGTTCCCAGTCAAGGCACATGCCCAGGTTGCAGGCTCAAACCCCAAAGGGGGCTGATCGATGTTTCTCTCTCTCTTTCTCTAAAAGTTAATAAAAACATTTTTAAAAGATAGATTGGAAGGAAGGAGGGTTATGCACATGCCAAATATCAGGAACAGCTTGAGTAAAGGAGTTGGTGGGTAGCAGATATGGGGGGACAGTAAGGATGCCTATCTGGTGGGTCAAGTGGACTTGGATAGTTGGAGCTATTGCACTGAAGCTCTGCCAGTCATTCTAGGCTCCGACTCTCACTTCCCCACCCCACATCCAATCAGCCACCAGGACCTTTAGGAATCTGTCTCCTGAATCTCCCAAATCCATTCTCTTCCATCCAATATATGCTCTAGTCCAAGCCATTTCACATTGGGATTTACTGCAATAACCTTGCTGTCATTTTGCCTCTAACAGTTCGAGTCTAACCCATCCTGCACACTGCAGCTACGTTAATCTTTCCCAAAACTGATCATGTCAGTTTACTCCTTAAATCTTTAATGACCTGCATTATTACCAGATTAGATCCATATTCCTAAATTGGTATCCAAGGCCAGTCACAATCTCACTCCTACTGATCTCCAGCCTTCTCTCCCTCTGCTCCCTTCTGCAGACCCTTCAACTCCACTTCTATCAAACTAAACAATTTGCAGTTCTCCAAATGTGCCCTGTACTTTTTGCCTGACATTGTTTATGCTGTCATCTTTTAGAATATATACCAGATTCTTTCTCCCTCCCCACATCAGCCTGTTAACTTCCCTCCCAGCCTTAAAGACTCAGTTTCCAAGAAGCCTTTTCTAATTTCAGAGGACTGTCACCTGGCCCTGTCGTTGCACCAGTCAACTTTTTTAAAAAATATATTTTATTGATTTTTTTTACAGAGAGGAAGGGAGAGGGATAGAGTGTTAGAAATATCAATGAGAGAGAAACATCGATCAGCTGCCTCCTGCACACCCCCTACTGGGGGTGTGCCCGCAACCAAGGTACATGCCCTTGATCGGAATCAAACCCAGGACCCTTCAGTCTACAGGCCGACGCTCTATCCACTGAGCCAAAACGGTTAGGGCAACTTTTTTGTTCTCAGTTGTTCATTAATTCCCTCTCTATTCTAAACTTCCTGTCAAATTCAGACAAATCCCCCATAAACACTCATCACAGAGCATCATTAGAAATTCAATGATTGAATGAATGAGATGGAGGCTGGGGCATGATATATGAGACCTTGAATGCCAGATTAAGGTATGTATATGTATTTTCTGTTCCAGGTGGCATGGTACAATGCAGTCCTGCCTTCAGCCTTCCACCTGCCCCTGCCAGGACCTACCCTGGCCTTCCTGGTACTCAGCACACCTGCCATGTTTGACCGGGCCCTCAAGCCCTTCCTGCAAAGTGCCCACCTCCAACCACTGACTGACCCTGTGGACCAATGTGTGGCCTACCACCTAGGCCGTGTTAGAAAGGTGAGCAACATTCATATCCTCTCCCAGCTTCAAACCTGCAACTGCTTATAGCTACTCCAAGCTCAATGCAGGACTAGACCTAAGGTTAGGAGCCACTTCCATAGGATGAAATACCGCCTTGACGTTGTGATCTCTCCCCATTCTCCATTCTCAATCCAAGGCAGGCCACCTTCTTCTAGCAGCCCCCCAGGCCTGAAATCAGTCTCACTCACCCTACACTGATGGGCAACTAAATGAACCTCAGACCAGATTTCCCTTGACCTCCAAGTGAAATAGGAGTAACATTTCCCAGGCATCTCTCACCTGTCTTTGCCCTAGACCTGGAAGTTTTATGCTGTCTTTGGGGCCTTTTAAGGACAAAATAGTATTTCCCCACCACACACTCACATGTACATATTTACATATATATGCATACACTGGGACTCTGGAGGGCAGAGCCAGCTTACCTCTCATAATGGAGGTTTTTGAGCAAGACCTTCAGACGTGGGCCCTCCTGGACAGAATATCATTTTCTTCACACTGGACCTCCCTTACCCCGTTTGAGGTGGTTTTCCTTTCAAATATGACTTCTGAGGACAGGACCTTAAACACAAATTAGGGCTCTCTAGGAAGAGGTCATGATTCCTGTCATGCTGAAAGAAGCCTCCATCTTGTCCTCCATCCCAGAGCCTCCCAGAGCTGCAGATTGAAGTTATCGCTGACTACGAGGTACACCCCAACCGGCGTCCCAAGATTCTGGCCCAGACAGCAGCCCATGTGGCAGGGGCTGCTTACTACTACCAACGACAGGATGTAGAGGCTGACCCCTGGGGAACCCAGGTCAGAGGGCAAGTATGAATGACTAGGCAGCAGTTCTCAACCTGTGGGTCGCGACCATCAGAAAACACATATATATATAATCGCTTCTCGGCCTTTTGGCTAAGATCAAGTGTAGTATCTGTTCTTATCAGAAAACACATATAGCATACCAGATATTTACATTATGATTCATAACAGTAGCAAAATTACAGTTATGAAGTAGCAACGAAAATAATTTTATGGTTGGGTCACCACAGCATGAGGAACTGTATTAAAGGGTCGCGGCATTAGGGAAGGTTGAGAACCACTAGACTAGAGACTGAAAAAATGGTGAAGGCCATCAAGATATCAGGTCTCACATTCTTCCACCTCCCGTGGGTAAAGGAGTTTGTAGACACAATCCAGGATAAAGATATTCCCTACCCAGGTCGGCAAACTCATTAGTCAACAGAGCCAAATATCAACAGTACTTCAAAATAGACTCGCCCAGGCC